GGGGGGGGGGGGGGGGGGGGGGGAGGGTGGTTCTGCGATTGAAATAACAGAATGTAAGCGATTTTAAGGAGGTGAAGTAACCCAAGGGTAGCTATAAAGTAGAAATTACTAGGTCCTGATTGTCAATGATCAAGAAAAAAAGAACCTTTGAGTGATAGATGAATGACTTTGCCAAATCCATCCACAGATAGAATAGAAGGGTGTGAACCCTTAAAGTGATTCATGAAGCTATCATAAAACACAAGTGTTCTTACTAAAGAAAACACCAAGAAAGATCATTTCATCAGTGAACCTTTATACTTGGAGGGATCAATATCAATACTGATGAGACTACTGTGGCAGTGGCAAGTGTTGTGCTGTCAAAATGAAGAACTTTCAATGTAGGTTTTGTTTAGTTCTTCCAGTTTGTTTTGCTATTCATGAGTGCGGAAGGATGTGGGTTGTTCAAAGTTATATGAAGGAATTGGTGCAGGGTTGACGTCTCCGTTGTTTAAGGACTTCTGTCTCTTTTGATTCCTCGTGGTTGTTAAGTGCATTTTCTCTTCCTTTTTTCATTTGTGCTTTTCGTTTGTTTTTTCCATTCATTTATTGTGGTATTGGGTTTTTGTACTTTCCTTCATCTCAATGGTAGAGAGGTTTCACTCTTTTGGTAATTGGAAAAGACTTGAGGAAAGCATATTTGGAACCAAGAGCGCCTCAAAAAAATCAACTTCTTCATCTGATCTATATGCGGCAAAGCAGGAAAGCAAACCTCACAAATGAGACAGTACGGAAAGCCTATCCAGACAAATATCTCCTAGCTGGTGCATCCTTTGCCACTTATTCTCTCTCTGTAACCGCCCAAGTAAATATTTTTCTTTTTGGACTTTCCCTTTTGGGCTTCCCCTCAAGGCTTTAAAACGCGTCTGCTAAGGATAGGTTTTCATACCGTTACAAGGAATGCTTCGTTCCCCTCTCCAACCGATGTGGGATCTCACAATCCCACCCCTCTTGAGGGCCCAGCGTCCTCGTTGGCACACCCCCCCGATGTCTGGCTTTGATACCATTTGTGACAACCCAAGCTTGTAGATATTGTCCTCTTTGGACTTTCCCTTTTGGACTTCCCTTCAAGGTTTTAAAACGCGTCTACCAGGGAGAGGTTTCCACCCCTTATAAAGAATGTTTTGTTCTCCTCTCCAACTAAGGTGGGATCTCACATTCTCTCGATGTGCTTTCGTGCCAAGTTGGTGGTCACTACCCTAAACATCTTTGAAATTCAACAGTGCTTTCCAAGAGTTGTTAGAGAGAGACTTATCCAGACTTTGCGCAGGAATCCTTTCAAGTGAAAGGTGAAAATTTATTGGATTGACATTTTCAGGTCCTTATGAGGCAAACTCAAGATAGTTGCGTGGACTCCTACCTAATGGATGTCCTTATTTGGAAAAGGGTGATTGGCCTAGCTTCCAAATAGTACTCTCTTTGCCAATTCGCTTGTAGACAAGCAAAAAGAAGTTGCATATATATATATTTTACCATTTTTATGCATGAGATTGGATGTGTTGGTGCTAGTTTATATATTTGGGTATTCTTGATTGAACTTATGTTTTCTTATGAATGTATATTTTCAATCGTTTTAAAGAATATATACCTTTTTTATATGATCTCATCTAGCCAACATATTTTTCCGCTCTATGTTTGCAGGCACTTGACACTTTTAATACAGCTGTTGTGTCACCGATATACTACGTTATGTTCACATCATTTACCATCTTGGCCAGTGTGATAATGTTTAAGGTATACCTGACTGCTGATTGTGGTTTCTTTAAACGTGTACAAAGTGATCGAAAATATTTTTGATCTGTTTAAAAAAAAAATTCCATAGCACATTACATTATGGGATCTTATCGATGAGAAATGTTTAGAGTTTTGCATGATTGTATATCCTTGCTTTCTTGCTTTGTCTGGTTGAGTAATGGTGTTTTTTGTTGCGTTCTAGCTAGGTGTTCTTCATATTTAAACGTATCTCTCTCTCTCTCTCTCTTAGATTATTGCCTCCACATATTTAAGTGTAGGTATTTTTCAACATCTTTTGAATTACTTCTTTCAGGACTGGGACAGGCAGAGCCCAACGCAGGTTGTGACGGAGATGTGTGGATTTGTAACCATTCTTTCTGGAACTTTTCTTCTTCATAAAACAAAGGACATGGCTGACGGTATGCCTCCTTAAAATTATGCTGTCATTTTCAGTTTGGTCCTTTCTTTTTCATCTTTGTTTATTTATAGCTTAGGTAGACACACTATACCCTCCCCCATTCTTGTTGTTTGGATAGCTGAGTATCAGAAGTCTCATTTAACGGCCCTCCCCCACTCATTTCCTTAGAGGCTTTGTCCACTCAAAGCCAGCACTAGGAGATAATAAGGTTTTAATTATTAAGTTTTCATCCTGACACGTAAAACCAAGACTCTGGTGTTTATCTCCAAACATCTCGAACACTTGGGATTCCCCCATCCCTATCAATAATTGTCTATACCGGGTTACATGTATACAAAAACAAACTGTCATTATTAGTACATTGATCATAGCTGTATATATCATTTTTCACAAATGTTGAATCTATTCCATAACTTTGCAAACTGATACAGGTCCATCGGCAAGCTTATCGATACGTCTCTCTAAGCATGTCGAAGAGGATGGGTTTTGTGGTGGAGAAGGTATTCCTCTCAGACGACAAGAATCCTCGAGGTTGCCTTGATCCTTTGAAAGTATGAGCATGTTCAGGTTTCATGTCGACATCAACTTGTATTCTATCACAAGTTTCTACCCCCTAGATGTTCCTTTTTGGATATAAGTAAAGATAGAAAGGTGAGAATTTTCTTTCACTTCCCATTCTGTCTCCCTAGACTTGACAATGGGGGTAATGCATATTGCCTTTGTACACAAGATCTTGCGACCCCACAAATCCCATATGAAAGATGCAAGCCAACAGAATTCTTTTTCATCAATTGGTAATACATATTGCCTCTCCCCATATATCAGAACTCGCTCGGTCTCTTTCTAAAATGCACATATATTGCTGTTCTTAGACCGTCTATTCAGCCATTTTCATTCTTAGTGTTTTGAAAATTGCCTTGGTTTTCTTCTTCATTCACATTTTAAATATGGGTTCGTGATGTTGTATCAAGCAGGAAGCACTTTTGAGGAGTGGGGTATGACTAGTTTAACCTAAACTCAAGAGCTCAAGGTGATTGTAATTTCCCGTTGTTTCTAAGCTTTGGTATATCTAAAACGTAAGTCTTCCCTTTGTTGCAATCCTCCAAGTTTAATCGGTTCTTTCCAGTAATTGAAAGTAGAACTGAAACAGAGCCAAGATTAGTCGTTAATCTGTATCATGGTTTAACATGGAGAAAAAGAATTAAAACATTTTTAGAAAGGATTACTAGGTGATGGATTTGTAAAGAAATGGTGATTTCATTGGCTCTCGATTGATCCATAAAAAAATTTGGCCCCTTTGGTGCCTATTCAGCTTCCTGCATTGTTGCCTCGAGTTAACAGCAACACCTAATGTGGTGTGTCCTTTACATTAAATTGCATCCGACTTGTTTTGAATCAAGATTTCTGGCTTCTCGGCTTTTTGGCATTTGCTTTAAGAGGTCAGAAACGGAGCACAATGTGCTAATTTGTAAATCACAGTTCTCACAGCAATGCTGCAATAGATGAATGGCCCCAACTTACCTGCAAACATGCCAATGCACCAACTGTTGAGGAGCATATCAAATTATTTGCATCTAAAGGCCTTCCCCATCACACGAACAAAGAGAAATTTCATGAATATCTAAGAGCTGATATATAAATATTTCAGTTCAACACGGGGCAGGGATACAAACCCAATGGTCGAGAGAGTACACTTTATGCGAGCTATGCTCACTTTGAGTATCTAAAAGCTGAAATATGTTTGCCTAAATCTAAGAAACATGGCCTTGGGGCATTGGCACAATGCAGACTAGTCATGAGAACAAGCAGCCATTTCCCGAAGTAACGAGAGCATCAAATAGTGTAGCTGATCCACATCGATAGGAGGAAAAAAAAAGTAAAATAAGAAAATATCCCAATTCCACCCAAGGAATAAGTTGCCTAAACTATTATAGGATGTTGTCTACACATAACTCAGGTATAAAAGCACCCCTGCTCTCTTAAAAGGTCGTTAATGAAGAGAAAGAAAAAGCCTCAGGAAGGAATAGGTTTTCTACTTCCTGAAAAGTTACAGCTGAACAATAATGTCCCATGTATAACCGTGATCTAAGGCCCTTTGGTAAAGTATCAAACTTCAACATCATTACAAACCATGTAATGCAGTAGGATCGAGACTAGGAGAGCTATATGCCTCTAGTGTAAACCAACGTGTTTATCCATTCTCCCCAACTAGAAAATGGGATGAACTTAGATTTTGGGAAGAGAGATGAATGGAGTGCTTTAACCTGGCCTTCTAGATTCCCCCGTTTGTCGCAGCTGTGACAAACAAAACAGAAAGGTGGCTAAACGGGACAACATTGAAACGTCTTGGGGACTTAAGGCCAATCAAAGGGAAGCTGGATACAAGGAATTGGGAGTCGGATCCGTCGGGTCTCTTTATTTGCTTATCTTTTTAGGAGTTTAAGCAGAACTATCACTCATTTGGATCTTCTTAGAAAATGCCCAAGAAAATCACCTTCTTTTGCTGGTCCACTTCTTACTGTTAGAAGGTTCAAAAGGTCTCATCTCAGTATCTACATGAATCCCTGAAGATGTGTATTATGTCAATACACAGTGAACTTCAAACGACCATTTATAAGGGTGTGGGTGTGGAAACCTTCCCCTAGCAGACGCGTTTTAAAGCCTTGAGGGAAAGCCCGAAAGGGAAAGTCCAAAGAGGACAATATCTGCTAGCGGTGGATCTGGGCCGATATAAAAACTTTGAACTAAAATCTAATTGTCCGAAATAGAATTCTGTTGATCGATTATATACATTTTTAACAACTTTCCAGCACAAATGCACCAAATAAACAAGTATAACTAGGAAATGTGGAAGTTTGATCTTCAGTAAATTCCTATTTACCTGGCAGGGATAAAGGAAAATTAAGAAGAAAAAATCAATCGATCGGGTACCTAAATAAACAAGCATAACTAGGAAATGTGAAAGTTTGGTGATTCTCGAGAACAAATTTTAGGGGCTGAAAGTGAGAGTAGAATATACACCAGCTGGATGAGAATTAAATAGTTCATACGAAACCATAACTTAACAGAAAAGCTTTCCTTCAACTCTAATCATGAAGACATCATTCGAGACCGAGCAACCTATTGGGAAAAAAAAAGAAGATTGGTCTTCGGAACATGGGGAATAAGCTTTATCTCTAAATATCATATTAGAAATACATGGAAACACATCTCAATTTCCAAAAACAAATGAACGATAGTTCAAATCAACAAAAATTATACAAAACTCTTGCGCACAGATACAGACCTCAGTAAGCTATCCGAAAATTCCCAAATCAAGGATTACAATACTTGGTCCAAGTACGCCGCTCAACGAACCAAGCATGAGGAGGAAAGAAAACAAGATCATAATTATAAAACCAAATGTTTACCACATCGAGGAATCAAACCGGAAAGCTTTTCTGTTTTCTTGCTTGATTCATGTTTTGTTCGATCCCTCGGAGAAAGCAGATTATGGATAATTCAAAGGAAAGAAAAAACTCTAAGCACAAAACAGAAAGAATATAATATAGCATTCCAGAGTTTTTCGTTAAGAGATACAGTAAAACAGAATAAAAAAAAAAGATATTCCAATCCAATCCTTCGATCCTCCGATTCATGCAAATGATTCGAACGAACAACATCGAATATCGAACGTCGAACATCGACGAACAGCCTAAAAACGTGAGATTCTTTCGTCGCAGATTCCTCGGGAAACAAACTCAAAGAAAAATCTTAACCTAAACTTACTTGTGAGGAAGAACGATGCTTTGGAGAAACAAGCTTGAATGTCGCACGCCTCCTCCTTGCAGGGTTCTTTGCTCGGCTGAGGCATTTCTCGATCTCTCTCCCTCCTCTCGCGATGACCAACAAATTATTATATATGAATTGAAAAATAATAATAATAGTACTCCAGAAAAATCCACGTGGAGATCTTGGCTACTTTATAAAATAATTTTAAAATTGTTAAGATCCATTTTATTACATTCAAAATCAGTTTGAAAAACATGTTTTTTTAATCGTTAAAGAACAATTTTAATGGTATAATAATTACATCCAAAACTACTAATAGGAGTGTATATGAGTTTGGTTGAGAAAACTTTATGGACCAACCCATAACTTCGGGTTAGTTGCAACTCAAGTAACCTGAAATTATATCACAATCTAACCTGACTCAACCCTTTACTTTTTAGTTAGATTAGATTAGGTTGTCGGGTTGTTCAAATTGATACCAGTTAGCTACACATAAAGAATTATATGGAAGTACTTTAAGAAATGAATGAAGGTGTTGACGTGAGGGACATTTTGTCTTGTATACAAAGGGTGTGACGTCTAGTTTGCAAGGGACATGGAGTGTCGTTCGTGAGGATAACCTTCACTTTTAGAAGCAAGAATTAACATGATCATGTCACTGGAGACAATACCAAATCCTGCAAATGAATCGTTACAAAAAAATTCTTAAACTTCCAGCTAAAAATTTTGATTTTGGATCTAAGAGGACCTCGATCGAACAATATTTATCCAATATCATCTATTAGATCAAGTGTTGTTTCTTTTTTTCTTCAATAGAAGAGTGTAGGAAGCATTCCATGAGTGAATCAAGGATTTCATTGGAAATCACATCAGTTATTTCTCACCATAATGCATTACAGGTACTGAATGTCTGTCCAAACAGCACAGAAGAGAGTGAATTTTTTGGATGAAACAAAAAAAAAAAAAGAAAAAAATGGTGCTTACTAATGTGGATTATAATTGATTAGACGACATAATACAGTACATACAGATACCACCACCTCCGGTAGGCCACACAACCCATGTAGAACAAACAAAACAACGGCAATGACCACCAGGTGCATGCATACATATGAAGATGTTAACTCCAGAAAAGCCAGGAAACAGCGGCAAAGAATTAAAAGGCAGAGAGCAGGGACACAGACAGGTACCAACACTGGAAGAGATCAGCAGCAGCAGCGTCTTGCACAACGGGATGATCGTTTTCGTTCACCAATTCGGCAAAAATTACCCAGGCACAACACTTGTGAAGCCAAACCAGAAACCTAACTGCGCACTGGACCTGTTACCGGGTCACGACTTGAACCAGAATCCTTTTGCTTCAAAGAAAGATTGGCAAATTGATTGTCGAGGTCTTTGCTCGAACTACGTCGATGACTAGAAGAGGGTCGTAGTGGTTGAGGTTGTTGCTGCTGCTGATGTTGCTGCTGATGTTGCTGCTGGTGCATAGCTCTTAACCTTCCAATCTCCCTCTCCAGTACTTCCTGCTCCACTGGACATAGTTCATCTCTTAGCTTTCTTGTAGAAATAAGAGGAAATTGTACTACAAATAACATGGCATCCAAGAGTTCTTTCAAAGCATGGAATTGTCTACAAAGTGGCAACTCTTTTATGATGTTAATACTAGTGCATATGGTTTTCCCAACTAAGTTCGACATTAGCACCCAACAAATATTAATGAGGGTTTCATAAAAGATACACAATTAAGTTCAACCGTTCAATAAAACCGAAGGAAAAGGTCGGTTACAAATGCATCTGGAAAATAATAGTTAGGAAGTCACCGTCAAGAAGGGAAAACAATACTAGGACTCCTACAAGCCGAGCCAATGACTCGATGGTCTTCTCAATATGCACCACAAACTCCACTTAAGAAAGCAAATATAGGCATTTGTTCCAAGCTAAACGTCAATGTAAAGTGATGAGATCATGAGTAGAGGGTAAGTCACTAGTCACCATGTATGAAGATTATTAAAGAAATCGCTAGTCAATGTAGCAAATCTATCTTGATCAACAATATCAATGAAGATAAGACAAGAATTGTAATGGAGTTACTCATATGCGATAAATCAGGACAGTTCTCAGTTCACATGCAAGTGTAATATCAAGTTTAGATCACCAAGTTTGAACACTTTTAAAATTATTTACTAACTTGTTTATGCATGCATTCCAAACACATAATTTCAGAAATATAAAGATAAACATATTTTAAATGGGTCCCAGTACTTTTGTTGTAGTATGATTTTAGTTCCTACACCTTCATATGTTTCAACTTGGTTTATATACTTGAGAACAAAATTTACCAACACTCCTTGCATGTCTATCTCTTGCTGATGTAAGGATCCACATAGCATCATATCAGATTACAAATGATGTCACATCATTCAAGTACACGAACTAAAATGAAATAAATTAAAATACAAGAATAAAATAGGGACTAAAGATCTAACCTGTTTAATTAGTGTTCTATAAGAAAGCCCATAGGAGGTTTTTTTTTTTTTTTTTCTTTGGGATTATTTGGATTTGGCTTTGGCTTGATTTCTTATCTATTTCTCATCGAATGAAATTCCTTGCTCGGTTTCATTATCAAAAGATAGACAGATACAGAAATCATTTACTGGGAAAGAATACCCTTCCTTAGTCTCTTTCTAGCCCATCATAATTCTGTCAAAAAGTTCTATGTAATAGTACCATGAAGTTTGTTTGTAGATAAATACCACAGTTAATGATTCAAGTAAAAAATACTTCTATATCGAATCTACCTACACACTTACATATTTACCTGTGTATCAAATCTATCTACCTACTTCCCTGTATAAATATGTATCTATCAATCTACACAGAAAAAGAGACGACTCGTGAATAGGAGCTTACAGTATTTAATTAGCTGCTCTTGAGCTAAATTCTCTAACCGCTGCTTGAGAGCATTGTTTTCCATGCTAAGAATAAGATGCTGCTGGTTGAGAAATTCAAGCTCAGCTGAGACTTCAGAGCCCTCTGCCTATGGAATAACAAATGTTGAGGTGATATTTGACCTTTTACATCAACTGTATGAACCTACTAATTCATAATTTCAGCATCCAATACTGACCTGCAGAGCTTGTACTTTCCTTTCAAGCTCAGCTATATATTGAAGTTTCCGAACCCTTGAACGCTGAGCAAATTGTCTGTATCATTTGATTTCAAAATTAAATCAAATGGAAGTCGTAAATGCAATTAACAGGAGGTTTCCACTCGTAAATAAAGGAACCACATTATTAAGTATTAATAAAACTATCCCAATGTCAGATTAATGAAAACAAGCAATATATAGCATAATAAATAATGGGACATGAAATGTACAAAAATTCTATGTTTTGATCAGCAAGATAGGGATAGTTAGCACGAGAACGAAATGTACTGCACTGTCATTATTTTCATTGTTGTCACTTCATTCTAAGTAAGATTATGAACCAATGGAAAACACGTTTTCAATGTACTTCTTCAGTTTAAGATATTGATCAGGACCACGCAACATTTCATAATCCACAAACTCAAATGATATTTCACATTTAAGTCTTGCGGCCAAAAAAATTTACTAGTGACCACATAATGGAATCCAACGACCTCTACTGTGGCATCCATCACTGTGAAATTTCAATCATAGAGTCCAAGTAAGGACAATATCAAGTTATTCAAAGAAATGTCCTTATTTTCCATCTTATGGTCACACCACTAGAATTAGGAGGTGTCATCTCCCTTTGTGTGTCTTATTCTTCTTTGAAGTGAAAGGTTGGCACTATCTTTCTCTCTTTCTCTTTTTTGACATTCGTGAGTGTCCAAGCCAGCTTACACACCTCGACTATTCTCACAAGCCTAACACTACAAGAATACCTTGACTATTCTCACAAGCCTAACACTACAAGAATTGGGCACCTAAGAAACTCGTAGAATAATAAATTCAAGGTTGTGGTCACCTTGGATTGAACCTCATTCCCCTTCAGTCTTATATTATACTCATGACCCTTACCACTAGGTCAACCCATTATGTTTGTTATAAATTTCTTTCTCTAATAAAAGAAATCCGTGTTTTCAAACTTTTTGAGGCACAGTTCGACTCTGATGAAATATCATAAAACCTGAAACCCAGAATTTAACCATGCTGCTTGAGTTTAAGCTCTATAGTAACTGTTCACTCGTTGACAGGAGAAAATATGAAAATTATATTGAAGAGGGAAAAAAAAATAGGAATGTTCTAACACAATTGATGCTTAGTGCATTAAAAAAGAAATTGTAGAAATTCAACTCATTAAAGTCGTTTGCCCCTACACCAGGTTGAAAGATTATAGATGATGATAAGGGTTGGAAGACAGAAATAGTATCTAGGTGTGGAGATTTGATATTGGGTATCCTTAAAAAAAAATAATGCATAACATAAAAATAAAGCCATAAAATACCAGATAAAATATTGTCCAATAAGACTGGGTTTTATAAAACACTTCACGGCATAGATAAAAAAACATCAATGAATTATAAACATCTAAAAGAATTTAAAATACAGTTCCAAGTAGTAAGCAGAAAAAAATGGGAAGAGAAAAATAAGGCTGGGGATATTCAACTAAAACAAGCACTCTTGGTCAAGATGTTAACCAAGTTTCAGTATATATATGCAGATACTAAAATAAAGTAAAGCATCATATACATACTGTTTGGCGCGTTTATTTTCTGTATCAGACGCAGATGATTTTCCATGAGAAGCATCTTTCCTTTCAGAAGAGACTTTTGGATTGTGTGAACCAGACTCAACTAGATCCTGTTTTTCACTAGCTGTAGAAGGCAAACCATCTGCTTCTTGCGGAGCGCTTAATGGTGCTGAGGTATGAATAACAATGTTCTCCCTGGGAGAATGAAGAGCAATAGGATTATTCATGGTAGATAAAGATGATTCCCACACCCTATTCTTCTGTTTTGTTACATTCGCTTCAGTATAGAATGAAGCATGCCTTGCATCCCTTTGATGATCAAATTCTTGAGATAACCATGAGTGTCCAGGAATTGCATTTGCATATTTGAAATCTTCTTGCGTGATACTATCAAAATTAACATTGGCAGCATCTGTATATGCAAAGGAGTCACTCGACGAACGTCGATGACCAACTCTGCGAACAGGGGTCTCTGGCTCATTGAGGAGATCATCAAGCCAAGAAGGCTGCTCCTCTATTAAAATGCTTTCGGAAGAAGTTCTTTGATGGTAGCTGTTACCATCTCGTGGTCTCTGAACAGCTTTTGCACCGATAACAGTGTTAGGAACAAATTCAGTATATGATGGAGAAACGCTCGGAAAGGGACTTTTGGGAGGGAGTAGTGCATGTTTCCCAGAACTCATAAAATTTCTGACGTTGGATGACCCTTTAGAATTCTCCATATAAAGAAATACGAGAAACTCCTTTTCCTGTAACATGATAAGAACTATTTCAGAACAAGACAGACATGGTCGATAGATTAAGGTTAAGAAGCAACAAAAAGGGCAGTCCAAGAAACATCTGCAAACACAATTAGAACTTTTTTCAGCTATGCTAAAACAATGTATTGCTTTTATCTACATTGTGCCACGTACACGTTTATGCTGCTCGCTCGAACGCAAATCAATTCGCTGAAACAATGAACTAACTATGCCACCAAGTGTTACTAAACAACAGAGGACAATCGATAGCAGATCAGCCAAAAAACATCAAATAGTAAGGGAGCTGTACACCAAAACTTTACAAATTATGAAAAATTGGGAGTAGCTAATTTAGAAAGAAAACAAAGGGAAACTCGTCCAAACAAAAAAGATCAAATGAAAATTGAAATCTTACACAACCATACCCTTACCCATTTAACTAAAAACTAGGCAGAGAAGATTGATATCAACCATTATCTCCTCCACTAAACAGATACATCGGGTGATTCTGTAAAATAAGATTTTCAAGGCTCCAGCCTCAAGAAAAAGATGTAAAAGCCTCCCCTTCAATTCCCTCCCACATTTTCTCAGCAACCAAAATAAAACCTGAAGGATACATAAAAAAACTCAAATCCTATTGAAAGAACAGTTTCAGAAAGGAAGAGAATCAAACAAAAACCCGAGATTTGAAGGGCCGACGAGACAACTGGCGAACAATTTGCATAAAATCAGAACAAATTCGAGAAAGTGGAAGCGGAAAAATGGGAAACAATTCCTCTATTATGTAGAAACAGAAGGAAAACATAAGAGAGAGAGAGAGAGAGAGAGAGAGAAAGATAGGAAAAGAACAAACCTCTGTGGCGATTGAAGAACGAAGATCTTCGAAGCGTAACGCGAACAGGGAACGAATTCAAAGCGAAAATGTTCTCAGAAATTTTACCTTTTCTCTAGGGTTTGGATTTTCACCCCACCTTTCAAGATGCTGAGCTCTCTCTCTCTCTCTCTCTCTCTCTCTCTCTCTCTCTCTCTCCTCCTCCTCCTCTCTCTGTCTGAGACTGAAATTAAGTGGGTGCAGATGCCGGAAGCTTAGATTGAAAAACAACAAAATTAAATTATACTAATTATCAAAATAATAATTATTATTTATTATTTATTATTATAAAAATAAATAAATAAAAGATTTATACATTTTCATGTCCAGCTTTTGTTGTCTCTATACCTAACTGGCCAACTCAGTTTTTACTTTTCTTTTCTTTTTTCCTTTTTTTTTTAATATTTTTTTGTTAAATTATAAGTTTATTTCTCGAGTTTTCACGTCTATACTATCGCGTCATCATTTTGTCTTTATCTGTTTATATTATGAACTTAAAAGTAGTAATTTTTGTCATAATAAATTTTCGTTGATATTTTCATCAACGTCATCATAAGATATGAATTTTAACATTTACAATATACGCTACAAATTAGATAGAAACGTAAGAAAAAAACGACAAAAAAATGTCACCAATGTAAATATAATATCAGCCATAAGTGTTCTATTCATAAATATATTGATATTTTTTCGAAAATTTTGTAAACTTAGTATGCAATACAGAGGAGGTATCAAATAGTAACCAAATGGGCTATCAGCTTATGGCATTCTGTGATGACTGATGCAAAATAAACATACAAGAACTCGTTTTATTGATCTAAAACACGAGCTCGAACATGCTGAACGACGAGGTGAAATCACGAACCAAGAAGCTTCTTCCATCTTGCATACCCAAAAATTAGCAGGAAAATCAACAAACACCCTGCTGAAGCACCTCCAACAAAGTACTCGAATATCCCGTTCGTCTCGTACAATATACAAGGGATGTTCATACCAAACAACCCGGCGATTAAGGTTTCGACAGCTATGGCAAATGAAGCAATGGTCAGTGTCAACTGAAACTGAATGAGTTCGTTTCTTTGACTGTCAAGTTGAATGTTGACGTAATCCTCGGTGTCGTCGATATATTCCCTAACCTGCATGCGTCGAGACAAGGTTAATACAAGTCTCAAACTCGACCCTAAACTAAAACAACTTTTGAAACAAGTGCTTTTGGCAGTAAAGAACGCGTATTAACAAAGCGCTTTAAATACTTTTCGACTTTTTTTAAAGGCATCTTTGTATTATTCTCAAGACTTTTAGCAGAGCCAAAAGCATTACCAAAGTAAATAGCCCAGAAACATAGCCTAAAGGCTGGAACAAGTTACTTTCTTGACATTATGGTTATCTTCAGCCACAAGGCTCACAACTACAGCCATTGTAATTTGCAGTAAGATTCATGTTCACATGGGGCTCACAACTACAAAGATGACTAATGGGTAGTAATTTACGACCCCTGCACCCGAACGAAATAAAATCAGAGAGAACGATGACATTGTTCGTGTTGTTGCCAGATTAGGGAATTTAATCATGATATGATGAAGAAACTTAGATCTCACCGATAATATCCTGTTACGAGTCCCATCCAACTGCATAAAGTATGCCTCGAGCAACATTTCCAGATCCTCTACGTCATTGTCATCCGAAAGATTGCTGGTTACTGCACTTCCGCTCCTGGTGGAACTAAGTCGACGCAGATGAGGAACGGTGGCAGTGGTGCTGTTGGAAGCGACTACTCCCAGCGAAGCATCGGACTGCTGATTCTGCATCCATTTTCTTGTCAAATATAGTTGTCCCATATCTTCATTATCATCTAATAGATGTTCTATCTCGTCCCGCACCTGCAATCATAAAATCTAAGAGTTCTATCAAAAATTGTACAAGTACAAAAAGACTTAGAGCTGTTCATTTTCTAAATCTAAGAAAGTTTTTGATCGGACTGGACAAATAGGTGTTTTAGCCTTTGTCACGGTTGTAAAACGTGTCTACTAGGGAGAAGTTTCCACACCTTTATAACGAATGCTTCGTTCCCCTCTCCAACCAATGTGGGATCTCACAATCCACTCCCCCCTTGGGGGCCCAGCGTCCTTGCTAGCACACCGCTCGGTGTCTAGCCCTGATACCATTTGTAATAGCCCAAGTCCACCGCTAGCAGATATTGTCTGCTTTGGTCCATTACGTATCTCCATCAACTTTACGGTTTTAAAACACGTCTACTAGGGAGAGGTTTTCACACCCTTATAAGGAATGTTTCATTTCCATTTTCAACCGATGTGGGATCTCACATCAAGACACTGCATGTCCTAGGTATTCCAACTTCAACAACCTAAAACAATTTTTAACCATTTACGAGATTTAAGAAACATAGCATTAATACGAAGAAAACACCTCGAATTGAATATAATTAATTAAAAAGGAGCAAAACATTATTAAGGGAAACAAAAACAATTAGAATTGTAAAGAGATTATAGAAAGAATAGGAATTGAGCACACCTTCTGAACGCGTGCAAGAATACGAGTAAGATTACTTTTCAAGCTCCTCACACGTTCTAGATTCTTGGTGCTGACATTCATAGCCAGTTCGTCCAGGACAGGATAAGCATCTCTCTCAAGGTCTTTCACGGTGGAATCTAAGTATATGCAAACAACCTCCAACGCAATTTCAAGAACTTGAAACTCGAACGGCAGCTCATACTGCTCATCAACAGCTTCGGAAACTGGCAACTGCTTTCCTCCTCTCGAAACATTAACATCATTTTCAACTTGAGATGAACTCATCTTAGCAAGTAGCTTCCTTAGCTTATCCACAAATGGAATAACCTCTTGGCAAAGAGGGTCAAGTAGTAGAACTTCTTCAGCAGTAACTATAGCTTTTATGAATTCTAAACTAACGACCATGGCCTTTTCCCTGGCTACAAGAATACCAAAGAGATTCAGAACAGAATTCTAGACTTCACCTAGGGACGAACATTCATGAATTTTCGAAGACAACCCTGAGTTCATGGTTCCTCAAATTTAAACTCTGAAAAAAAAGTGGAAAACAAGAGCAAGCAAATCAAGAAAATAGGTGCACGCATGATCAAGAGATGGCTTAAAAATTACTCGTTGTTTATGGTTTCTTACAATGAACAAAGAACATGAACAGACTATTTGAGATGGAATGCCAAAACGTTTGCACATGACATTACTTCTTCAAACTCTAGCTTTTCTTCCCATGTTTCTCTATCATTTGAAGAAGAAAAAGCCAACTAAAATTGTTTTACTAAGCCTACCGCTAGCAGATATTGTCCGATTTAGCGTGTTACATATCGCCATTAGTCTCACAGTTTTTAAAACGCGTTTGCAAGAGAGAGGTTTCTACACCCTTATAAGGAATGCTTTGTTCCCCTTTCCAACCAATGTGAGATCTCACAATCCACCTTCCGTTGGGGGACCGCGTCCTCGCTAGCACACCGCCCGGTGATTGACTCTAATGCAATTGGTAACAGCTCAAGCCCACCGCTAGCATATATTGTTTGTTCGCTTTGACTTGTTACATATCGTCGTCAGCCTCACGGTTTTTAAAACGTGTATGCTAGGGAGAGGTTTCACACCCTTAAGGAATGTTTCATTCCCTTCTCCAACCAATGTGGGATCTCACACATTCTTTTTTTAGAAGAAAAAAACCAGTTGTTTAGCTTCCAGCGACTCTCCCACGTTAGAAGTAGTCGAAATGGGCAACAAGATACAAAGATAGGCCACAAACAGCACTTCTACAGAGTAAACCCATAGTTCAAAACTGATTGCAGAGTAAAATATAAACTTACCGAGTATGTTGGAGGATTGTGAGAAAATAGGACCAAGAATCCTCAAATCCCTGGCCGGAATTGCAGCACGCCGGATTATGGCGCTCTTGTCCCACTCTATAAGCTCCGTCTGCCCCCACCTGTCAAGACGCATCCACAGCCTAGCTCCTCCAGCCTTCTTCTTCACCTTTCCCATGGCCCCACCACCACCACCACCGACCAAGCCGCTGCCATTATTGTTAATGGGAGGAGAGCAGATGCCAGTCTGCGGAGGTGGCTGAGGCAATGGGGACAGTGATGACTGAGCCGCCTTCTTACGGCGGCGACGACTACTGCTCCGGCAAAAAGAACATGGTATTTTGCCCATTTTCTTTCGCTCACCACTCCCCTCCTTCTCTCGTGCTAAACACCCTTAAAATTCCAAGTTCTTCTGATCCCTCTCTTTCGAACTTTGAGGGAACGATCGCCAAATTTCTCAACTCTGTGACCTTAAACTCTTACTGCCGCCCCCCCCCCCCCCCCCCCCCCCCCC